CATGGATCCTTGCTTTTAAATTTTTGCAATAAAGCTATATGCACGCACGATGCAAAACTAGAAGCTGGGGTTGTCACAGGGCAAGAGGCACTCCAACTTGGAGCAAAATGTCACAGCAACGGAGCTTAACCCCAGCGGACTGGAGTTACCAAAGGAGGCTTTTCCAGAAACCATTTTGCATTCCCCCACCTGCTAAATCTAGTCAAAAAGGCTGCAGCTTGTAAGCATATCACTGCAATCATGCAGCTCCAAATGCACTGCCTCCCTAATGCAAATTAATACCTGAAAGTCATGAATGCACATCGATCCTTTCTCGATCATTTTTGCCAACGTACATGCGTACTTTTAAAATGAAGGCCTTTGGCGCTAGTGACTGAAGACAGACTCTTGACCTCTCAGGCCTGGTCTGCAGCAATCCAACCGCCTAGCTTCTTTGCCACCTGCCACCTGGCGGCAGTATGCAGCAGTTACGGTTTCCCATCACTTTGAAATGAGGTCGGGTATTGGTGTAACGCTGTCGAACAAAAAGAAACTTGCTGCTGAGAAACGCTGTTTCTATTCCATATCGCCCCCAATTGAGCGTCACCCCACCCTTGCGATCCACCTGCCAAAGAAACAAGAGAGCAGTGAACACGGGTCCAAGCTACCATGGTAGATGCCTGAAACAGAAGTCCGGGCACATGTTCTCGCACTCCTGTTGCCCTCTTATCAGTCACCGAAGACACGTAAAAGCTGGTAGTGCCGAGCCTCAGATGTACCGCGGCTATATGTATATGTACGGATGTGTTCATCATTAGAATGATCAGGATATTTATATAGTCGACAGTGTCAAGCAACAGCACTCCAATGGACGAGCTATCAGAAGGTAGTGACTTGTTGGGCTTGAGGGTGAAGCTCCTTGGCCGGTGCCAGGTACTGCATCAGCGTATATGTATACATGCATGTATCATGAAAGATCAAGGCTCCACGTAGAATACACCTCGGTGTCAACCGGTAGTATAAGGTGGTGATCTTTCTGGCTGAGATTCTTCAACAGCTCGACGGATTTCTGCACACAATGGGCACAGTGTTCTGGACGGGCTACATCAATACATGTGCAGACACAATAATATATACGGCGCGCTATCTTGCCTCAATTTTTGCAGCCTTCGCTTCGGTGGGCTTCGTATCATCGACCTTGCGCTTTGCACTCCGCTTTGACAACTCCGGTGTCAAACCTGTTGGTGCTCTTTCTGGATCACGACGAACATTTGCGCTGGTGGCAGCTGGACTAGCTGCAGATACCTCACGTAAGTCAACAAGTGCCAAATGTAAATGTGATTGCACGTTCAGTTGCACGTTCATTGTGTGTTCTAACTTGAAACGAGCTGCAGCACGCCGCTTGCGCTTGGGGCTCTTAGCCGTCTTAGCAGTCTTGTTTTTCGGAGAAGCACGTGCACGCTTTGGTACATTTTTTCCTCGTGGCCTTGCTCCTTTCTGCTGTTCCTCATCGCTGTCAATCAAAACCTCTTCCTTGTTGGCTTTGTCTTCCTCATCTATCTCTGCCATCTCTGAATTCTTTTCTGGATCACTAGGGTGCGTCTCCTCATCCTGCTGTTGGTCCTCCTCATGCTCGTCCTTCTGCTCCTCTTGTTTTCTCCCACCACGACCTCTGCCTTTACCTCGACCTCGGCCTCGGCCACGCCCGCGAGTTGCTTTTGCTTTTGCTTTTGCCTTGGGATCAGGAAGTGGCTTCTTGGCATGCTTTGCTGCTGCACGTACTTTCTTTTGCGCCTGCAAGAAGCACAGACAGCACAGCACGCTATGAAGATCGCTATATAAAGAAAGCTGCAGCTGTGCACACATCAAGAAAACTATGCAGCGCTATAGTTGCCTCAAAAAGCTCATCAGCACCATCCCTACCATCAACCTTCATTTGTCTCTCAATGTCTTCGCAAACCCTCTCTGCTTGGTCAAGCAGGGTCGGGGATAGGGGGGCTGGCATTGCGCACAATGGTTTAGAATCCTGCCCACGAAACTCAGTGGCTGATACGAATCAACCTGAAAAGCTGCAGTGCATGTACGAAGGCATCACCCCTACATACGCTATAGATGTCACGACAACTCAGCGTCCTGTTGAGCGCTTGAAGTCTCCTTCAACTCGAGCTCCACATCTTGGCCATCTTCGTCGTCGACGTCATCCTGTTCGTGGGGGCTATAGCTATAGGAATCAAATGTGCACATGTTGGAAGTGAAGAGGCTTAATACCAAGACAGGTTGAGAGGACACAAAGGGTCCACACCAGCTTCTAGTGTGGACCCTTTTGTGTCCTCTCACCCTCTCTAGGTAAGCAGATCAAATTGCACACCGCATCATGCGTTTGTCACACATCGTATACATTTGCATTGCAGTGGCCTCATAAGGAAGCTGCGAGTCGTGTTCTTGAAATTGATGAGGCTTTCCTGCGCAGGCCCGAACATAGCTAGAAACAAAAAGTTGGATCCATAGCCTGTTGAAGATACCGGTGCAGTAGGTTCATCGCCATCATGACCACCCTTGGCAAACGTGTGGCAGGATCTGGAAGTGGTGCTTTATGGATCCCTAATATGTATCCATGGCCCCTCAATGTTGCTTTTGCTAATCTATTGAACTTGGATGCGTGCCTCCACTTGCACTTGCGATTCTGCTGGTGCTGACACATTGCCACCGCCTGTTCCAAGCATGCTTGGTCATGATACATGCATACTCTAGACATGTTGCTACAGGCCTGAAGTTGGTTCCTCATCGCCGTCCTGGACAACATATATGCATGTATGTGATCGTAATTATATAGATCTTTTTGCGTTTAAAATCTTCAGCGCCTCCTTGGGCGTTTCCTTCTCAGTAGGCCCACCGTTGCCCACCTGTCGCGTGTTTGGAAATTAGTTCGGAACGCTGCCCAAAAAGAGAAGGCACAATGCATCCCCGCCAACTGGATTGAAAGATCAACAACAATGAACGCACGTGATAGTGTACTCTTTCCCTTGAATGTCCCAAAGTCCCAACCTCCAGACCTTTTGGGCAATGAGAAGGCGGTGCAGCTACACCCTGAGTGCCAAGGAAAAAAAAGACCAGGCTACCAGTGAGGCTTCTTTGGTCGAGCCTCTGGACCCAACACTGAACGGAGTAGATCTTGAAGTTCTAGAATGCGGGCGTTTGAACTCCTGTTTCGCACAGCCATGCAAATAAGCAATAGAATGTGGCACTGCATGAAGCACTGCATGAAGGGCCTTCGACTGACAGGACGTTTGCATCTTTGGATAATGTAGCTGGCCAGAGCCCGGTGCGAGTTGCCCTCCTCCCAGGCCCACTCCTAGGATGGTTCCATGTCCAGTTCTCTAAAATATCAATATATCTGCCATGAAAACTTGCCATGAATCTTCACAATGACTACACATTGCCAAGTATCTTCCAATTCCTGCTTGTAATCTCTAGACTTTACCTTGCTGCTCTCCCCATCTTTGGATCCAAAAGATATTAACTCAAATTCAGCTGCAATGGTAATAAGAGCCGCCTGCGATTGCAAAAGCTCCTATCTATATCACGACGTGATGCACTAAAGACATCTAAAGACCTGGCCTGAGCCTCTTTGCTTGTTGGAATTTTCTAAGCAAAGACCGCAAGATATAGCATCATGAAGTCAAAGGTACCATCACGCTGGGCCTCAACAAAAAAAAAAATTAGATGATAGTGGTCGACTTGACCAAGTACATAAATGTTAAAATGAGCAGGCCTGCTGTTGATTTGGCGCGCTAGAGTGATCAAAAAATGTGAATTTGACCGGAACCTTGGCAGAAGAAAGCTGTGAATATGTGTGTATGTGCGCTTGCGAGTGCGCATATATTTATATAATATGTACGTGCACACGTGTTTAAAACACATTTTTTTTTTTTGCGACAGGAAGCTATCCCAGACTTCAAGAAGTTCCTGAGTCTATCCCTGCCAATCCCCTCCTTCTTGCACAGGTCTTTGATGCAGTTGTCTTGCACAGGTCTTTAATGCGGTTGTCTTTGAAGTGATTTTCAGTCACGAAGCCACGGTAAAAATCCTATCAGGTAAACGAGATGAGACCTGCGTACAACTAGCCTAGACATGTGAAAAAAAAAAAAAAAAAAAAAGCTGGCCTCTAGCAGCTTTACCGTTTGAGGGTTAGGCTTTGAATCCGGCATCTAAGGCTAATAGGCCGATGAGCCAGCAGCAGCTTTTAGACTGATGATTCCAGCTCTAATAAGAGCTACAGTGAGAGAATTACGATGGGTCGGTTGAGCGTCACCGAACAAAGCGTTGTCAAACATGCCGGAATTACGTATATTTTATGTGCGATGAACCAAACAAAAAAAACAAAAAAAAAAAAAAAAAAAAAAAAAA